AATAGAAACTAAATTCGAGGCTATGGAAGGCAGAAATAGACACAGTTGAAGGCAAAGTTGGAAAAATTCAGGAAAGAGTTTCTGCAGTGGAGCAGCAAATTGAAGAAAGAGTTTCTACCGTCCAAGAGCAAATCGAACAACAGATTGATGAGAGTTTCTGCAGTTGCCAAAGAAATGGATAATGAAAGATACTTTAAAGAAATTCTTCTTAGCGACGGCAGGGAGCAGGAGTGATGATTTTAAATTCTTACCGATGCCTGCTCGTCCATCTCTAAAGCTATCCACATATGATGGGAAGACATCCTGGAAAGTGTATAAGACCCAATTTTCTATAGTTGCGGATGCGAATGGATGGGATTCTCAAGCTAAGGCCTGTCATCTTGCCGCTTCTTTGAGAGCAGACGCAGCGGATATCCTGCAGACTCTTCCCGAAAACCAGAGACTAGACTTTGAAGCTCTATCCGGCGCATTGGAGCTGCGCTTTAGAGAGAAGTGTTTAAAAGACTACAGCAGGCTTCAACTAAAATCCCGTCAGCAGAAGCCCACCGAAACACTTCAGGAGCTCGCCACGGATGTTGAAAGGCTGTCCCACCTCGCCTTTACGGAGTGCCCGAGAGAAACGAGGGAATCGTCCTGTCGCTCCTGTCGCTGCAATATTTCATCGATGGCATTCGGGACCCTGAAATACAGAAAGCACTGCGAATGGCAGATGTAAAGGATGTAAAAAGCGCTCTGTTGTACGCCGTGAAATTGGAGGCAGCCCAGCAAGCAACTCTTAGGGATCGCTATACAGTCAGAGCTGTGCGAGTCCACGACCCAGGGGACCAATTGATGGCTCGTTTAGATGATTTATCGAGACAAGTCGATGCTTTGATACGGAGTAGCAGTGAGAACAAAGTGGCTGTAAGATGTTGGAGATGTGGTTCTGAAGGTCACCTACGACGGCATTGCAGAACACCCCAAGGCACGGATAATGAAACGGATGAGTTGACAAGACCAGTGAATGCTTTAAGACGGAATAGTGGTGAAACAAAACCGACCCTAAAGTGCTGGAATTGCGGTGTTGAAGGCCAGCACTACGAAGGAACTGCAGAACAGTCCCCAGAGCACGGAAAATAAGGCATACGATTTTAAACAGACAATTAAATGCCACGGGAAGGAAAAGGACTGACAAGAAACCAAAGTGCTGGAACTGTGGAGCTAAAGGCCACGTACGAAAGAATTGCAGAACACCCCAGGGTATGAAAATTAAAACAATTTCTGAGCAACGACGCAGGAAACAAATTAATGACCATATCAAGGAACGGAGATTGCCAGATAATGAAAAACCCTGTTTTAAAGCGCTTAAGATCTCTATAGTGAGTGGCAACAATAACGGACTGTCCATCAATGGGAATATCGATGGAGTTCCTTGCAATATGATCATTGACACAGGAGCTAATGTTACCATCATTAGGAAAGATTTAGCTGAACAGTTTAAAGATAAACTTATTTGGACGCCATCCTGTGTTACCCTTCAGGCTGCGTCTGGTGACAAGATCGACATAACTGGGAAGTTAAACGTAAACATCACGTTTGGAAGTGCCGGCATACGTGGCATCACACGGCATATGTGGCGGATATTACAGATCCATGCATACTCGGATTGGACTTTTTAAGGAAATACAATTTTTCCTTAGATTTCAAAAACAATAAGCTGCTTTCAGCATCTGATGGCATGACTATCCATCCTCAAAAGGGATCCTCGCCTGGAAATGTCGACGCCTTGTCTGAAAGATCGAGCTCGGGAAGCTGCCGAAATCATACCAGGGTCGAAAAGAAACTCAAGACTACCAGCTATTCTCCATCCCAGAAGCTCTTCGGTCGAGACCTTCGTCTGCCTTGTGACCGCCTGTTTAGTCGCCCTACGGATGCGCCTTCATCGCCTGAGGAAACACATCCAAGATGCCCAGGCCCGGTTTGAGGGGATGCACCGTTCTGCACGAAAGCGAGTCAACTTGGCGACGGAGAAAATGAAGACCAGATGCGACACAAGAGCTACTAGACAGAGATCCAACAAAGGAGACAAGGTGTGGTTGTGGAACCCAATTCAACGAAAAGGACTGAGTCCTAAATTACAGTCACCTTCGGATGGTCCATATACAGTGCTGAACACGAATGACGTCGTGGTTCGGATCCGTGAGTCTTCGAACTCTTACGACAGGTTAGCTTATTACTATGGCCATAGTACATAATGTAAATGATTGTAAATAGTATAAGACCATGGTCCATTTGTTTTTAAATGTGTGTTTGATTAGATTTGTATTTAGTACTTGATTTGCATTTAGTATTTGATTTGTATTTGATAGCATTTGATTTGTTTAATTTATTGCATTTATTGTTCATGTTGTTTATTATTGTAATGTAATGCTTATTAATGCATTTATGCCACAGTTGTAAGTTTAGCTTCCTGTCCAGGGATTGTACTGCCCGGGACGTGCAGTCCTTGGAAATGGGGCAATGTTACGAATTTGGTATTTAAAAAGCTAATGTTAGTTCAATTAAAAATTAAAAATTAAATGATTTTATTTCTCGCGCAGTGCAGCGCGTGACGAATATTAAAAAAGAAAGCAAAATCGGAAAATTGAAAATACAAGAGCGCGTGCATTAAATTAAATAAATAAATATCTCTCTTTTTGATTTCGAGAAAGTACTGGAAAATTCTAGCGCGTGATTTTAAAAATCTTATAAAAGGAGGAAAACATCTCAGTTTGTAGTTAGTTGCTTGCTTAGTTTGTTGTTGTTTAGAAAACTGCTCTTGTTGATTGTAGCGGATTAGCGTTCTTTAGCTGTTTTGAATTACGTTCTATTGGATATTTGAGTAGTTAAAAGATTACCACTGTGAGATATTGTAATACTGCATGATAATTTGAGAAAATTTAAGCATTTTTGTTGTGATAATAATAAATTTTTGTTCATTTTTCATCGGACTTGTGCATTCATTTCATAACGAACCCGTACGCACGCAACAATATTTTTCTCATATGCATCATAGTTTTATGTAAAGATAGCATTTTGGGCTCAGATGTTTATCACATATTTTTTTCTTTATTTTATTTACCACTTATTAAGTAACCACTTATTATTACCACTTATTTCACATGGATATTTTTATGAGTTATCAAACATTTGTTTGTATTTATTTCAAATGCTTTTAACCAGGTTGTGAAATTTTTATAATTGCTTACATTTGATCTAACTTTGCAATGAAAAGTTTCAGAAGAAATCGACGATGCTTTAATTGTTTTGTACAGATAAAATTACGAGGCAGAATATTTTCAACCATCTTGCTTAAATCTTTAAGCACGCGAAAGGTCATGTGACATGACAGAAATATTACTGGATGCCCATTGGTCCATCTTAGAAACCACTTCCTCGGTGGCTACACATATGTGCACTTGTGAAATATGCTACCGGGGCTATATGGTGGGTGTGGCGAAAGATCCCATTCGAGTCCGTACAGAGTCCAGCCGGTGAATGCAGACTCATGTGGTCTTGCATTATCTGGATGGAACATACCTTTTTGCGCCGGAACTCAGTTCTAGTTTTTCCTTGATAACAGCGTCAACACGGACTAGCATCTCGCTGTACACCTTACTGTCGAGGCTTTTACCAGATACTCTTTGAGGATAATACCACGGCAGTCTACCAGATGCAAAGCATGATCTTTTTGTTAGTCAAATTGCGCTTTGCGACGTTACCTGCGGGCTCACCGGGCGCAGACCACCGCCTTTTCGTGCTGTGACGTTGAAGTAAATCCACCTTTCATCACAAATGTCGATCCGGTCCAGAATTTTGTCCTTACGTTGGTATTCGAGCAGATTAGTGCAGGCCCGAACACGTCTGTGCTTATCTGCTTGAGTCAGCTCATGCGGCACCCAGCGATTGAACTTGTACGTCAAGTTTATGCCATGCATAGCGCGACTAATGGACATGGCACTAACATCTAGCTCCTTAGCAAGCTCTCGAGTGGTTGCATACTGATCTTCTTCACAAGTTCTCGCAGGCGGGCCTCTTCAACATCAGTAGGCCGGCCAGAGGGCTCTGTTTCTTGAATGTCATAGTCCTTGTTTTCGAACTTTCGGTACCAAATCTTTGTAGTGTCATATGATACGACATTAGTAAAGCTGTATACATGATTTGGTGACCTTCTGTAGCTGACTTTTTGCAACAGAACTGGAAGTAAACGATAGTTCTAATCTGGCAGCGTGATAGTTTCATTTCAGACTCCTTGTACTCAATGATGACGATATTTTATTACAAATTTCACGACACAATGGTCTAAAGCAAGTCTGTTTCTTTCAAATGCCAAAAGTCGTTTAACAAAATATGATTAAACACGCTAATGTGAACTGTTTGCGGAGACGATATTTGTTGTGGTGGGAAAATTTCCTTAAAACCCGATATTAAATCTACTCACGTGAAGAACTGACTGAAATTTTTCTTTTTGATTGATTTGACCAAAAATCACTTGAAAGTAACAAAACATTTTACTTCACGCAATATCTTTTTAAAATAAAACAAACGTTAAAACGTTGTTACAACTACATGCTATGATTTTAAATATTATTTATTTAAATAATGTTAAACAATATTTAAACTTAATATGAAAAAATAGTCAAGTATATGCACATTTTTTTCCCCAAATTCAGATGATTTGAAAATTTAACACTTCGACATTATTTTACAATAGCTGTAGTACTGATAAGTATTTTGGGTTTGTACGCGTTATCTAATAAAACAGAACAATACATGCTAGGCCTATATTTTAAATTATTAATTGCAGTTAAATAGGCTAGAATATATAGTCTCTGTCATACATTATAACGATAACAATTTTTGGATATGAAAAAGTTTTTAGTTAAAATTTTAAAAATTTTTATTAAATTATTTAAGTTTAAAAATTAGAGATTTCAAATCCTTGAATAAATTGTCATTTTAAAATTTTATTAATTTTTCAGGATGGTCTGGATAAAGTTTTCGTTGGTTTAACAAATGGAGATACTAAGCCTAATGGTGGTATTGAACAAGATTCTGATATGAAAAATGGCTTCGAAACCGAATCATCCGTAAACAAAGCGATTTCTGACATGACAGAATTAAGTGCCTCTACCACTAATAAAGTGAAAAAATTGCTCACAGTTGACATAGATTTTGATTCATCTAGCAGTGAAAACATGTCACAGGATGCACCTGATTCTGAAGCTCAGCTAACTTCGACACCAGCGCAAAAGACGACTGAAGTCAAAAACTTCCTCGAAGATGACGATTCGTTGGATGATGTTCCCTACTTAGCAAGTGCAGCTCCTCAAAACGATGAAGAGAAATCCAACAAGCATTCCGCTCGTACCAGCAGTACATCTATCCCTGTATTCTCGCCTGTCACTATTAGCATACCTGTCATCAAGCCGGACCTCACACATTATGAAAAATTGCCGAGCCCCCCTCCAGCTAGCACTCATCCAGGCCTTGACCAGAATTTGAGAACGTCAAAGACTACGATATCCTCAGCAACAGAAGATACAAGCAAATCTACCCTCGAAAAAATATCCGTCCAATCATTGTATAGACCAATCTTTACGAACAAGGAGATATCAACCCCAGATTTGGATACCAATCCTGAAAAGCTGCTAAATGGAATCGATTCCGACTCCTCAGAACATTATACCGCTCAGGAGAATACAACTGTTGAGAATACTTCTTCAACGGAGAGTAATTCTACGTCCTCCTTAACCGTGACATTATCCCCGGTGGTTGCCAATAATATTGCAGTCAAAGCTCCAAATAATGTGGCAGGCTTCGCAAAGACACTCATAATACCGGGTCCCAATGACGTCGAGAGCCTTCTGAGCCTGGCGGCGGAACCGAACACGCCACCCCCAAACTTAGTACAGCCACCAAAATCAATTGAAAATCAGTGAACAGATTTGTGATCGAAAAGTTGTATTTTTCTATCTTCAGGGATCAGCTATACTCCAATAGCTAATTTTGAATTCAAATTTAGACGTAACTAGTCCGATAAAAGTGATTAGTGAATACATTCAAATTTTAGTAGCGTTATCGCCATGATGATTCGAGATAAACGATATTTTGTAATGTTATCTAGTTTAGAATACGATGTTCAACTTAGCTTGTGATTTTCGTGGTGAGCAAAACAGGGAAAATTATTTTCCTCTTTTCTTTGTGCAGAATGATTACTTCATTTATAAATATGAGTTTGTTTTTGTTTATAAATATCCACAGCGGAAAAAATATTTTTATACATTATGTTATCTTGTAACAAAGCTCCCATCAAAAGGTAAAATGCGACTAGTAGCAATATGTGTGTGCGCGGATAAGTATGTAATGATGTACTGTTGTTTTTTATCGATATTATTCGATTTATAAACTTTTAGAACTGATTTGCATATATAACCGTCCATTCTTAATACATGGAAAGTTTGAGCTTTATTTAATGCATTTTTTAAAGGTGCTTATTTTGCCAATATCAACTTTTATACAATCTTCTTAAATTAACAGAGCTATAGAGCTTTTATTGTACATACATGTCAAATGCCTCTATGAATAAAATATTTTTTCTTGCTACTTGCAACTGCGGCATAGCGTAACAGTAATCACTTGAAACATGCAAAGTACGGGAAGGATTTTAGTTCTAAAACATCATTAAGATACGGGTGGCCCTTCGATAATTTGTATTGCAAATAATAGTATTCCTGAGACATGTGCTATTTTCCCATCTTCTGCCTTGTCTTAAGAATACTCATTCGTTATTTTCGCATGTCCTGTCCGCAGTAAAGATTCTTAAAACAGTAAGCGAATTATGAGCTAAGGCAAACTATTTTAGTTTGTGTTACGCGTCAGAAACAAAAATTTCAGCAATCCATAAAGATCGTAATTTGACTCATTGCTGAAAGAATTCTCCTCATAGAAAATCGCATCCGCATTGCTAACAGCTGTTTCCATTGTCTGTATAGAAACTAAACATAGGCTTTGGTTGAGTGCGTAGGAGGTCAATCCGTCAAGTAATTGATGGATGCTAGCAATATATAAATCGTTTTCATGTGATGTTTTAAGATAGAAATAAGGATACTTAACTACGGTAAGTAATGACGAAACAGTGTCATGGAGCCTGTTTAGACGATGAATAAGAAATGTCTGGTTATAAAGATATGAAATGAACTCTAAAATTATGTAGCAGAAACTGGCAAAAAATAAACAACTATCAAATTTCCCGCTTTGCAACTCACGTGTGACCATACTAGAAAAATTCGTGGAAGGATTTATTCACTTTCCAGCGTTTTTCCCAACAAGTTCTAAAATTTTTTCAAGTTCGAAAAAATTATTGCTTTATATAAAAATACTCGTTCATTATTAACATTAACACCTCGTTGTTCGTTTTAAAGAGATTTATAATCTATAAAAATATTAGCGATCATACTTTAGGCATTACACCAGTAGACCACAGATTCAACCTATCTTTAATACTGCATATATCTAATGTCCCAAAAATATATCTGTCGTTTTTTAATTTAACAAAGATTTTTCCCTTAAAATATAGAAAGTAGATTAAAGTTATAATTTAACTGGAATAAAATCATACATAATTAAGCTTAGTTACTGATCTTAGCTTTACGCTGTTCGTAAAATGTGTATTTCTGCATTTATAAGACATGACGAATGTACAAAAAATTTTAATTACTTAATGTTTCCTTAAATTTTGGGACCAAATGTGCGGAAATAGCTTTGGATGAATATTTAGTCCAGAATATTCATTTTACACAGAAATTATATGAAAATAATCTTAGATTGTATTTTATTTGCTTTCTTGCATCGAAAGAACTACTATTCTTTTTTTAAAAAAGTAATTGTGATTAAATTAGTATTCATAATATGACTTATTTTTGTCACATTTTATATAAAACTGACATAGAGGTAAATGGAGAGATAATTTATAAAATTAGTCTACAACGCATAAATAACAATTTCAAACATTAATTGTAGATAATCTGTAAATATGAGCTTGCTAATGCTAGATTTCTAAATTTCTACATTTTACATTCTGCTCGATTTCTGAATTTGTCGACAAAGTTCAAATTTTCTGTTCATAATTGTAGTCAGATATAGGATGCATTAAAAAGAGCAAATTTTAAAGTAGTTATATCAGTTTTTTAAATTTTAAATTGAAGCTGTCTCTGTCCATTGATGACTCTACTCAATGATGGTCATTCAAAATCCGCGCTAAAATGTAAAATATAAAAGAAGTGCGAAGAGAAGGACTATTTAATGATCAATCTAGACCTGAAAGACGTATTTTTAATAATATAACATGGGGATGGGAAATATTGCAATGATTATTCATCATTATTTGGTTCTACACAGAAAACATATACTAAAACTTAAAAGCTTGAAGATTCTATTTAGCTACAATTGGAACAATGACTTCTGAGAAACATCACTTAATCTAACTGCTATGAAGTATTAAAATTTTTAAATTTTTAAAATGTTTAGTTAGGAATGCTGAAACATACATCCAATATTCAATTGTGGTTTTATAGGTATAATTTGCAAATATCGCAAAAAAAATGTAATATTTTTCACGAAGGTCGATCCTTGAAGTAGCTATATACTGCAGTAATTAATCTTAATATTTGCAGAGCATTAAACATTTACTAGTATATAAATTATTAAAAACATCCTCAAAATCTAATAGCTGTCGATAAAACTGAATAGTCCCAAAAGGAATTTTCTACAACTATATCAAAGTAATTAATTTACTTTAGTTCCTTAATATCTTAAATTAAATAGTCACTTATTCCTAAATAATTATTCATAAGCATTTTAATAAATAATAAATTTACAAAACAATCCTCTGCTTATTAATTAATAATTTACTGTTAATGATGATTCTAGGAGTTTTAAGTCTTTCGAATAGAGCCTACATTACATATCGGAAAAAGTACCACTCTCGTTAGAAAACCAAGATTGCAGAATAGCCTAAAATCTAAACTGCATTTCAATACCCCTGCTTTTATTTGTAAAACATAATTATTAAAAGAATATTTAATAAAAAATTAAGAACTTGAATTTCTGAAATAAATTATACACCAATAATGTCGGAATATCTTACAGAGAATATCTTTATCTTACGGAATATACGAGAATATACGTACTTTATCTTAATCAATTTTTATTAAACAAAATTTTAAATTTTCATTTTTGGCACATTGTGTTTGTTTCGTTGCAAGATATATCAACTGCTAAAAGCGTAACAGGTTCTGGAGAGTTAAAGGGAAGTCGGAGCAGAACTCGCTTACAGAACCAATCCTCAAATCCTCTTGCACCAGCCTGAGGAAGAGAAAAATCGTTCTCGAAACGCATCACGAGAGATAGAGCAGGGAGAAGAGCAGAATCCGAAGAGAAACAAGCAACTACAATAACAACACACGCATATCGAATATAATTATTAACTACAATCTTCGGACGCTTGGCTGCGGCAGAAAAAGCCTCAGGGGTAGCCAACTCCTCAAACTGCATTCCACTGGAAAGAGGAACTGAAAACAGCCAACCGTAGGCACACAGAGAAAAAAATAAGTACATAAATAAATAAATAAAAGGGAACTTCACAAAAATTACGGCACGGCATTGATTGAAGAGGAATTTACCTGGCATGTATGTTTCCTCTTCGGTCCTAGTGAATGAAAAAACACAAAAGAATAGTAAGAAGTAATTCATTCAGTTCCCTCCCCGCTTCTTCTTTGCTACTTAGCATTTTAAGTAGGATGATGATGAAACAGTCTTGGTCATGTATAGCCGCAAGTCATCCGAAAGAAAATAAGCTTATAAAATTGCGCGTTTATAGAATAGATGACTTTATGCATAAAAATTCCATAATAAAGGAATATTTAACCAGCAATCTTGAGAAGCAGGAACATGAATACGCGATGTTATGTTTAGACTGCTCGGGATAATAATTACTTTTCAAATAAGTTTTAGCTAGGAAGTTTAACACATTTGCGAACTAATGCAAGTCTTGATAGGTAATTTTATGCTATTTAAATGCTGAAATGTAGTAGGAAGCAAGAAGTACTAGTAATATTTACTATAATATAAGTACTAGTACTGTCATATTTTTTGTAAATTATATAGCTTATTTTGTATCTAGAATGTATGTACTAAAACTTTATAGAATTTTTAAAAATGGAACCTGAAAGAATCTGTAAGACTCGACAAATATAACTGAAAAAAAAAAAGGTAATTGTAAATATCAATTCAAAAATGCCGTATAATGTAACTAAATTCCTGATAATTAATCAGAACACTTATATCCGTCATCTATCATTCATAACACTTTAATCCATCATTCCTGATAATTAATCAGAACACTTAAATCCTTTAAACTATGTCTACTATTGATCAGTAACTTTGAAATACATTGACTCTGTATTTTCTTTATAGCTAAGTTAGATTCTATATCCCCCTCCAGTATGTAAAATATGTTTTCTGGGTATATAAAATTGATTTCAGAAAAATAGATTCAGTTAAAAGCTTCAGATTTAAAAAAAAAAAAAAAAAAAAAAAAAAAAAAAAAAAAAAAACTTTCACATAATTGTTTTTTTCTTATTCTCTCTCTCTCTCTCTCTCTTTTTTTTTTTTTTTTTTTTTTCCAAATTTTTAGTTGGTTTGTTTTGATTTTATATTCAGAACTTTATAATTTGAGTTCTTGAAATGAAAATTAATTAATATTAAATATAGCTCAGTTGAAATCACAGTTCTTTATGGGGGGAACATATCAGCTGCGCTGTAAGTTAAACATAAATCATAAGGAACAAGAATTTTAAGCTTTTTGGACCGTATGGGTTAGACAGTATGTTTTATCTTGCAATAATTGCCAGTAGCCGTTAACTTTAATGTATATATTTAAAGAACCCATAGATGTTGCTAAATGTATCTCCTTTTTTGAATTATTAATATTTTCGTCCTTACTCCATTTACTCCAGTGTAAAGTATGTGAAAAAGAACTGCTGACGGAAAAATCAACTGCGCATACTGAACTCGTAAAATCTTTTCTTAAAGATCTGTTCGTGCGGAAGGAATTTATCAGTTGTTTGTCAACTGGCAACAATTCTTCAGATTAAGGAGTTCTGAATTGAAAATGTTTTTCAATATAAGGTGGTAGTAAGATAGCATACTAAATAAAATACTAAGAAACAGGAGTACATAATGTAATAAAAAATAAATAAGATAGTAGTAAGATAATATAAACTGTTTTTGTTCTTAGTAGAGCGTATCAAAATGCTTTAAGCTAAAATATGATGAATCTGAAATTTTAACAATTTGAAGATAATTTCGTGGCTTAAAACTACTTTTATACGAAACATTCAGTGAATCAGATACAATAGTAATATTGAATTATAAATATTAATGCTCACTTTTATTTCATAACCACAATTATTCATTTGCTTTATTGACGGCAAACGTTCTGATCTTATAAATACAATAAAATAAAGCTTCAAAATATCCAAACCGAATTTAGAAAAATTCATTTATGGTAATAATGTGTGAAATCATTTTATAATTATCATTATTGTAAATTTAGTTACGTTAAACATAAATGTTTACAGAGCGACCCCCCCAAAAAAATACAAAATGAAGCGTTTTCCACCGAAATATTTTTAATGCCAGCAATGTACGAGTAACTAATCGTAAGGGGCCAAAATAAAATACTTATCACTTTTCCCAACAGACAAATTTAAAAAAAAAAAAAATTATTACAAATTGAAGAGTAATATTATTGCTATATGATTAAAATAAAAGTAAGAGAAACTATGTCGGAGAAGTTTATGTTTATTGATTACTATTCCCATTGATGAACTACTTTTAAAAACATTTTTTTACAAACGTAGAATCGAAACTAAGCAAAGAAGACATAAATACATCAGAGTTTCGTAGAATCGAAACTCTGATGTATTTATGTCTTCTTTGCTTCTGTTTATGCTCAGTATCTATCAAAGCTAGTAATAAATAATAATTACTAAAGAAATTTTCAATACTTTTCAAAATCTTTTATGATTAAATGTGTAATAATGATTTAAATACGTTCATTAAGCTTAACAGAAAAGTTTAGTTTAAATTGCAATTGATAATGAAAAAAGTTTTTAAAATTATTTAGCCAAAGTTTAATGCAAACAGTTCTAGAATTTCCATTTATTTTTTAGAAAATAAACTACTAACAAGTTCCGAAAGCATGATGATTCAGTATTGGCTGATATTTTTTATTTCTGACATTTTTAATTATAATAGCTTTAATTGAAATACTTCTGACGTTCTTAACTAGTGTTCAATTGGCAAGTGCTTGCATTTTGCAATTACTTAGGAATATTAAACTGTAAAATGATTTCACTGATATTCACATAAGAAAAAATTTCTTTTCATTCTTCTCTCATACGAGAAGCTATTAATTAGACTCATAGATTGCAATTTTGCAAGTGCAGCTTCGCAATACTTTTTAAGTATACTTTCAATGTAATTTAGCACAGAATCATTAATCTCCATAGTTATGCATATCAGAACAATGTAAACAAAGCAAGAGATGATACAGTCTTAGTCAAATATATATACTCTATTAAATAAAGTTATTGAATTATTCTATTCTAAGCTATTAAATGAATGAGCCAGTACTAACACGTTTTAAACTACTAATTTTAGACCGATGTCGCGAAATTATTAAATCAGCGCAATCTGTAATAAAAATTCGAAAAATTATCTTTCATTATATAATGAAGACCCTAGAATCATGAGTACAGAACATAGTGCTCAAAGTTTTGGATTATAAAATCATACCTGAAATTATACGTAATAGAATTAAGTTTCAATTAAAATTTATTTTAGGAATATATGTTGTGAAACTGGATTGCCAAAAGGAAACAATCAATTATAAATAATTCATTGACATTTAAATTCATATATTGTTGAAACATTTCTCATATGCAGAAAGGTTGTACTTTGTTACTTCTGTGAACATCCAATAATAGACTTGCCAATGTATTTAAAATTTGAAAATTTATGATATGTAATCTATGAAATTTGTTAAAATTATATGTCCTATTTCAGCAATGAAAATGATTATGGTTTTATTACAGCTGTAAATATGGTCTTATTACAGCTGTAAATACAGGGAATCTCCCTTTTTTCAATTTTTGCTTTGGTACACAATAATTTTTAGATTAATAATTTCGATTATTATTTGCTGTTTATTTGCAATATGCAGACCACTTTTTAACATTCCCGATTTACATTTCTGGTGTTGGTGCTGCCATCTGTTGGCTAACTGTTGTACATAAATTAGTATACTTTGTCTAATGGCATTATATTAAACTGGAAATATAAAATATTTTTCTTTCGAGATCTTGTAAAAATGTACTTATAAAATGTACTTTGTATTATAACTAACTTGTGTACTTGTAATTTCTGTACTCGACGACTTACGAAAGTGAATTTGTAAAATAAAGAAAGAAAATGAAAATTTGTAACCATCCTTAAGAATCGACTTTAAAAACAGAAAATTAATACAAATGTGTTTATTAAAAAAAAAAAACAAGTTTGAATACTTAAAAAATATCATGTTCATTCACTAAATTTAACTAAGCCACTAAATTTAATTAATTATTCAATTTTAATCCACATAAAAAGAATTTTAGTGCTACATCACAAACTACTATTTTAATAATCTAAAAAGTTATGCTACATTATTTTATTCCGATTGATGAAAGAGTATTTCCTCGTCAAAGTTGCAAAGAAATAAAAATAAAATAATTTACATTCTCTAATTTAATTTGACTTGGTAACAGTTTCATTGTGCTGCGAGAAAACTTGTGAGTCGATTAAAAATTTATCCTAATTTTTAATAATGAGAAATATTTATTCTTAGTATGACTTATGAATAAATAATCATCGCTTCCAACATATCTTTCCTAGATTCCTAGGCAAGTAAATGCTTATTTCAAAGCCAGATGGTGACGAGAGATTTGAATTTACTTACTTGTTCAATTAATGGTAATTCATTAACTGAAATTATTGTCAATTAAAACTGGTTAACCACTACTTTCTGCTTACAAAAAAATATGTGTGAAGTATAAGAGTAAATAAACCAAATAAATATACATGTTTTTTCCTTAAAAAATTATCAGTTACTATCTAAAATATATGAAAATAGCTCTGAATACAGAATATAAAATGTTGTAACGTAAATATAAGTAATAATTCTAAATGTCTTTTCATGTGTTAATACACTGCTGGCCATTCAAACTGCAACTGCAAACTGAAGGAATGATCTGATGAATGTCAAAATCACATGAAAGGAAGAAAAGGTTAGGATTTGCAAATGATTAGTATTTTAGAGCATTTAGACGACACAGGAGGGAGAAACGACATTTGAGACACTGCATAAAAGAAAAAGTTTGTAGTGGATTTCTTATTCGGAAAGCACTTTGCAAGGTCGGAGTTTGCTCAGAGTATCGTGTTATGCTTCGAACAATAATAAGAAATGTTTACCAGCAAGTGTCGGAATTCGATAGAGGCAGGATCGTTGCCTATCTCGAGTGTGGATTATTGTTTTCTGATATTGCCTGTTGCACTGGTTGACATCCAATCACTATCATTCGAATATGGAATCAATGGATGCTGAGGGTCATACTGAACAGCATGCAGGATCTCAATGCCCTCCCATGACTAACGTCCAAGAGGACAGACATATTGTGAGGTCAGCCCTGCAAAACCGTACAACCACATCACGGACCATTAGTCAGGAAATGGGCGTTTGCAGCACGCCCAGTATCCGCTCGTATGGTGCATCGACATTTGCAGCAGCGTGGACTATCAGCACAACGACCATTACTTTGGCTTCCCTTGACAATGCAACACAGAGAGAGATGGCAACTCTGATGTGCTGAACGACAAAGCTGGATACAGGAGGGGCAAAATGTCATCTTTTTCAGATGAGTCCCGGTTCTGTGTGCAGTATTCTGATGGCCGTATACGTATGTGGAGGCTCCAAGAAGACCGCATGTCGCCTGCTTGCATTCGATATCCGCATAGAGGTCCTGCGTATGGTGTGATGGCTCGTGCAGCCGATTGGGTACATGACACACACATTTCTAGTTCGGATCGACGGTAATTTGAACGCAGATCGGTACATTTCTGACATCTTATGTCCAATGGTTGTGCCCTATCTCCGAGGCCTGCGAAACGACATCTTCCAACAAGATAATGCAAGACCACATGTTGCACTTGTGTTCCTCGATACACAGGGTATTAGATTGCTACCCTGGCCTGCACGGTCTCCAGATCTGTCACCCACTGAAAACATCTGGTCATGGGTTGCTGAGAGACTGGCCCGTCACCCCTCTCCCGATAATACGGTTGATGAAGTATGGCATAGACTTGAAGCAACATGGAATGAGTTTCCCGTTTCTGTCATCCAATCCCAGTTCAACTCGATGGCTAACCGGGTAAGGGTCGTTTTAGCTGCCAGGAGTGGCAGCTGTTTCTACTAATTTCGCACCCCTGTAAACCTACAAACTGCTTATAAACGTAATCATTTTGTCTTCAAGCTGTACACTTTAAGTACAATAAATATCTTTTTTGTATTTGCTTTACTTCATGGTGTTGCAATTTTAATGGCCAGCAGTGTACATTGTTCCATGTAGACATTCACAAGTTTCTCACCTATGCAATTTTAATCTAAACTACTGATAAAATTCTTCACTTACACATATAATAATAATTTATTTTTTAAAAAATTAATACTTTTTTTAAAATTTGGCCACAAAAAAGAATAATAATTTATTTAAACTGTAGTTTTCTAAATGAAAATCTACGTTTTGTACAAAATAAGCCAGCCGTTGAGAAAACTCTCTCGGGCACTTATTGCATTTATTAGTTTGATAGGTGTAAGGAAACATAATGCTAAAGAGGGTGTTTGCACATTTTTAGAATGATTTCGATAAAGAATTTTTTTAAAAAATCCAATGTTTTGGAGGAAAAAAATTCCTGGCAATAGCTTGATATTTGAAATTAGAAGTATCGTCTGCTGCTTTTATTTTCCTTTTGAAGTGTTCCTTGTAAACAAGCTGTGATTAAAGAATATGTTTTAGGCATTTCCGAAGAGAAACATTCCTATTCCATGATTCATAAACACTGTGAAATGCATTAAATTTAAAATTTCTTAATGCAAAATAAGCAGCATTATTGATCGGAAAGAGAAAAACTGTCAATCAGTACTAGAAGACTGCAAATGAATACCCTAAAAAGGTACATATTCTTTCTAATGTTCCTTAAAGGTTAATTCGTTGGTAACAACAGAAATATCCGCCAACACACAAATCAATAGGAAAATCCTTAAATACATCTGTAGCAACAATAATTTTTTAAAAAAATCTGCAAGGTTTCAGATTTTAAATTACGTCTAAAGGGGTGTTTTTCTTAATGTTTTGTGTGTCACCTCTATTTATTAAATATCGTGTTCTTCACACTTAAGCCGTAAAATTCAGTTCAACAGCAGTATCGCAAAATAATTTTAAAATGAGCGTATCTTTAGAATTTCCGATACACACTCTTGCGCACTGGAGATAAAAATGTTTTTTCTGTACAACGTTACCATGGCTCGCTTTGAAATCCTTGAGTTTGCTAAAACAAAAATTCGTTAAAGTTTTACAAAATATGAAATCAATAATAAAACAAATTCCAAATTTTAAATTTGGGCTTCCAGATGCCCAAATTTGCAGGAGGATTACATTATTCAAAATCGGATGGCTCTAGGTACTGTTGTTTTATCCCAATGCGAGAAACATAAATACATTTATGCAGATTCTTCGTTATTTAATTTCTTTAAATATAAAACAGGGCTCTAATATTGGGTGGCAACAATCTGAAAGATGAAACAAAGCTTGTAGGGAATCAACGCAAAATGCTAGAACGAAATTAATAGTCCTTCTGGGCAAATTGCCCCTTTGGACTAAAAAAGTTTTACGCCCGATATTTACATAAAAAATTCCATTTCTTTATCTCAGTGACTTTAAGAGAGTGAAACTTCATTAAGACAAAGCAACAAGTCATACTTCAAAACGTATCACTGCATTCTTTGAATAAATGAAGACTGATACAGGTATTGTATACATATATCTTTTCAGCGTATTCTTACAAAGTCCCCCTGACGCTTCACCTATGAACTCTTGTGTTTTGAGTCTCTTCTAAACAGCTCTTTATAAGCGCAAACCCAAAATGATTGATGGATTCTGTAAAGTAGTAGAAGAGGAAAGGAAATCCATTTTTAATTTTACGAAAAATTTACGAAAAGCCCTTCTATCATGTACATCACGGCACAAATTTATAGTCCATAAAAAAAGGCTATTAAATCGAATATTTAAAAAAAAATACACTTTACATTTTAAACATTAATTAAACGGCCCTGAAATCGTTCTAAAAATGTGTAACTACCTTCTTTATCATGTTATATATTGCTCTTAAATTTTTCTGCTGAAAACACTAGGGTTAGTTTTGAAGATTCTATCTATTTATTTATTTGTGAAAGCTGAAACAAGGATTATGGGCTTGATTAGGAACTGAAAGTTTTCCTTCCATTCTTAAGGCCCACCAGCGGCCGAGTGGTAAAGTCGCTGAACACTGGTAGTTCGGTCCGAGGTTCGAATACAGCGAACGGGCTGGTGCACGGACGATTTTGTGGTTTTTTACATGTGTAAAGTGCATACGAGCCAGTTTCCCTTAGAAAGTCCTCCCCGGAGGCATCCCTACCCTTAGGCAGATAGCCCTCAAGGCTTTGCCATAATCACATAAACCAAACCTTTCATTATAACATAGCAGTTGATGTAAATGGAATTGGGTCTAGAAATTTTCAGTATTGCATGTTATTTCTCATAATAATTTTCAATAATATCTATTTTTTTTTCTTATATGTGCTTTCAAATAACTCCATAAACTTATTTTTTAACAGTAGTTTTATTGGATTTATTAAAGATTTCATAATCATGATCCTTCCAATTTTTGAGTTTATGATCAAAAAGGTATTGCAGAACATCGGAATAAGCAATTCGTTTTTCTCTTATCCAATTTTTTAAAGCAGGGGTTCTCAACCAGTGGTATGCAAGAAAAAAATAAGTGGTACTTAAAAAAGAAGCAAAGTATTTTTGACTATTAAATTCAAAAATTAAAACCCCAACATCCTGATAGAATTTTTTTTCTATAACACTCGTAAATTTATGTGATCTGAGCCAAAGAAAGTCTATGTAAAGAAGGAAAGGCTCCATAGACGTAATGTAAACCAGTTTGTCTTCTACGTCACTAGAAAGAAGATGGACAATTCGCCAAGGGATTTGGCAGCGGAACCTGTTGGCGGAGAATTTCCCCCTCTGTGATGTACCGGACCTGGTCGAGATTTTTCTCCTTCGTCACGTGTACAGGAAATTGAGCAACACAGGTTAAGATGAATCGTTCTTCGACTTTTCGCGA